CCTGATCCAGGCTGAGGAAATTTACAAATGGAAGTGGAGCAGAAGGGCTGGGGGGAGGTTGGTGGGTTTTCTGTCTCTTCACATGCTCTTTTCTTTGCTTCCCACAGACAACTGGACAACTGGCACCTTTGGGATTATTTGATTAGTATTAATTACTTCACAAAGACTGTTTTTGTGACAAGAAATGGTTTTGTTATCTGAGAGTGATAAGAAACACAACATTTGTTCAGGATTTATTTGTTCTTTGAAGTCAGGAAAACAACTATCCCATAAAAGCTTGCTTGAAAGGTAGTGGTGAGAAACAATGAAATTATTTTTCTGACTGCACTCTCTGAGTCCCAGTTACTCGAATCAATGGTGCTTACGTTCGTGGATGCTGTTCTGGTATCCTTTGTGTGTAGCTATCTACACACAAAGAGTCTGAATACAACCAGAGTTAACCTCCATGTGGAAGCAGAGCCAGGCTTTCCACTACTACTCAGCACTACTGCTGAGAAATAGGAATGTCATTCATGGTGATTTTTGAAGATAAAAACTTTTCTCCAAGTTTTAATTCTACCTGTTGATGATGATGAAGATGGTTTTTTGGAGGGGGCAGTGTGCAGAAAAGCTTTGCTTGGCTGGGGAAGTTTAGCAGGCTAACATGACAAGACTGTGCCTTAGGACTGAAAGAGAAGTTGTGACTGAGGATCTCAGCTGATAGATACCACATTTTCCTTTATTCCAGAATGAGGTGCCACATCCCTCATGTGCAACCTGCAAAACATTTGAGTCCCTTGGTCTCTCATTTACTCTGAAAATCTAGAAACAAGACAAAACGAGAATTGGAAATGAAGAGACCCGCCTCAGAGCACCAGCAATGCAGAGTCCTCTGGAGGTGGCATGCATGTTGTGGATCCCACCCCCAGGTGGGAGGTGTGCCCCTCACTCCAAATCTTAGAGTGGGGCCCCCAGCACACCTCCTAGGGAACTGGATAAGAGTTCTCTGCAGGTTGGGGTACTTGAGGGACTGAGATCTCATTCGTGCTTGACAGAAGACTGCACACTGGGGGCTCCAGAAGCTGCCTGTGGCATAAGGGGAGAGCCTTGGCTTGGGAGGTACCTACCTGCAACTCCTTCAGCATGGGCTGGGGAAGTGTGCCTTCTGGGGACCCAGGCTTAGCTGGCTCCCAAGAGAGATTCTGCCAGGGAGTGAGCCATCTCAGCAGAAAGAGGCTCTACCCAGATTGTGTGTCTACTGGGCTTTCTTAACTGTAGCACCCATGGGAAGGGTTCATCCTGGAAGAGTAACAATTGGGACTTTAAAAAATTGGTGCTCAGAAAAACAGAGAATAAAGATGGTATTATGAAATGAGTTTCCTGTAACATTAGGTATTTTTTATATTACCATTTGACTCAAGCTAGATTTTATTATGCAAATTAAATGGAAATTTTAGTGATTATCCTGTGAGTTTGTGCTGTGTTAATTTAGCTCCTTCACATACTAAATTGCCAATCTCCACTTTGTGATATATATATCTATAGCTACACACACACACACACACGCACACGGTTGTGGGGGGAGGCAGAGAGAGGGAAGGAGAGAGAGGGAGAGAGCGAGTCCTAGAAGACTTTTAAACATATGAAGTGCTTTTATGAATTACTTGCCTTTATCTCAGGCTATGAACATTTTTCAACCAAAGTGATTTTTCACGTTAAGATGATGTGGATTAGGCTTGCCTACATGCAGTGGAAGCCACAAATCAACAGAGGCTATTCACATAGGTTTCATCCTTTCATGTGGAAGTATGGGGGATAGCATGCTAAGACTGGTATGATCGCACAGACTGCCCGAGCCCTACTCCTTCCAGCTTTTGGCTCTGTGATCCCTTGGGTAGGGCTCACGATTGCTGCTGGAAACCAGTGACTATGTTCAGGTTTGATGCGATAGGAAAAGAAAACATTTTCCTGGAGGTTTTATCCACTTACACTCCATTGTCCAAAATGAATCACTGGTCATATCTAAACACAAGGGAGGTGGCAAAATATGGTTTGCAATGCCATGTGCTCAGCTAAAAGGAGAGGCTTCCATCATGGATGAAGAAAGCAGGTCTAATATTGAGGGATAACATTTGTCTCTGACACAGGAAACACACAGGTTAGGAGTGGACTGTGGAGTCACACAGCTTCTCTGATTCTTGGCTCTGCCAGTTACTAGGTTGTAACTTTGGTTGAGTCTTCAAAACTTTCATTTTTTAAATTTTTTTTAATTTTTGACAAGCAGAGTGGACAGTGAGAGAGAGAGATAGAGAGAACATGTCTTTTTTTTTTTTTAAGATTTATTTCTTTATTTGAGAGGCAGAGTTACAGAGGCAGAGGCAGAGACAGAAAGTCTTCCATCCACTGGTTCACTCCCCAGATGGCTGCAACGGCTGGAGCTGTGCCGATCCGAAGCCAGGAGCCAGGAGCTTCTTCCTGATCTCCCATGTGGGTGCAGGGGCCCAAGCACTTGAGCCATCTTCTACTGCTTTCCCAGGCTACAGCAGAGCGCTTGGTCAGAAATGGAACAGCCGGGACTTGAACTGGTGCCCATATGAGATGCCGGCACTGTAGGCGGCAGCTTTACCCACTACACTGCAGTGCTGGCCCGCTTTCCATGTCTTTATTTCCTTCCCTGTAGTGACAATACAATTGTCATGAGTGTTTACTATGAAGATCTTTAGAACAGTGTCTGGCTATGTGCTATGGTTCTTGCCACCAGCCCCAGGGTTTCCTGTAACTCATGGATCTATAGGGAGGGCAGCCTCAAGTTTGTTAACCACTCAAGCCCCAGAGCCTAGTATGATGCCTGGTGCTTTGTAATTACGGAGACATAGATGAATGAATGGGTCAGACTGCATGAGTTTTAAATCACAGAGCTTCCACTTTCTGGTTGGTTTACCTGGACATTACTTGATCTCTGCTTCAGTTTTCCCTTCTTTAATATGGACATAACACTAGGTGTTCTTCTTTTGCTCTCTGGGTCTACTCTCCAACCCTGCCAAGGAAGCTGACATCTACAGATTTCAGCTCTGACTTCTCATCTGGACTGGCCCTTGGGAAGCCTGGCAGGTGATCAGAGGTGGAAGGAGAATGAGCTAGTTCATTTATTCCTGTGGCTTCCACCCTGCAGAGCCATGATTTGACAGTGACTGAGTGTCTGTTCTGAAAGTTATTATGAGGTGGCTCTCTTTTCACAGCTGTAGGTGATTCTGAGTTTCAGCATTTGCTCTCTGCTATTTCTGTCATCAGGGGCTTTCAATATCATTTGTTGGTAACTCTTTTTAAAATTACATTTTTATTATTTTTGTATATTTGAGAGGGGAGAGGGAGAAAGAGCACTCACATGTATTGGTTTACTCATCAGATGCCTTCAACAGTTGGAGCTGGTCAGGAGCTGGAGCTAGGAGTTGGGAACCCAAGCCAGGTCTCCCAGGTGATGTCACTGAATGCAATCACTTGAGCCATCACCACCCCTCCCATGGTCTGCATCAGCAGGAAGCTGGAGTCAGGAGTTGGAGCCAAGAATTGACCCCAGGCTCTCCAGTGTAGGACATAGGTGTCTTCATGGCTAGGCTAAGAGCCTGCCTTCTTTATTGATTTTCCTCTTGCTTGCCGCACTTTTATAAATAGACCCTTCATTAAATTTTCCTCAGTTCTCCATTTGTTTGTTGTTTTCCTTCTGAAACCATGACTGATCACAATGCTCATAGAGTTGTTCTGAGTGTTCAATGAAATAACACACATAAGAGCTTAATTTAATATCTGGCACAGAATAAACACTAGATGAATTTCAGCTGCATGACTGTGTTTTTTACCTCTTGTTATTTTGTGCTTCACAATATCTTTGTTCCATATGATTTTCAAAGAGCTTGTGGTTTTTTGAAGTATTTAACTGCTAAAAATGATCAGAGCGTACCTAAGCTTATTTTTTTTCTTTCAATCTTTTACCTTCAAACAAAATGGTACCTAACATTTTCCCCCATATTTCCTGTCTTTGTTAAAATATGAATATGAGCCCATTATAGTGTTCCCTGCTATGGACCTGTGAACTTGGAATTCTGAGAAGAAGGGCAGTTGTGCTAAGGGTATATAGGCCAGTGTTGGGAAATTGGACTTGCCAGCTCCAGATTCAGGAGATTCAGGCCCCAGGGGGAAATGGTGAGAGAGCCATCAAGTAGACCAGGGAATCAGGACCAGAGAATGTAGCCAAAGTTGATTTGAGCATAGTAGGTTTTGAGTGTTTGATTTTGAACTTTGTTTTTAGAAACAGAAAATCTAGAGGGCATTAATATGTTCTGGGGTTTCCCTGGGTGTTGGGGGCAAATAGTCTTTGGGTGCAGGGGAACTAATGTATGCTTCTCACGATGAGTTCTAATTCTCTGCTCTGACCTGCCGAATTCATGATCCTGTAGAGTTTTGTATGACACAAGAGCTGCATGCTTAGCATCTAGTTTTGTTCCTAAGATCCCCTAGATGCTCCCCATGATGCTTCTGAAATTGGTGCAACTACACCATATGATTTGCAGATTTTACCATACTGATCCTTGCTTGATATCTCAGTGATTTATCCTCTGTGTTAGGGACTAGATGATGATGGTAACAGTGAGGATGGTGGTGGTATCTGAAAGCCTTCAAAAATGATTGCTACAAGCATTCTCTTGCTTAGGGAAGTTAAAATATACCAACTCTGAGAATGATAAAGAAGAAAATAGAAAGTAGGTAGACTTGGTATTTAGTTGCATACAGTACTTTCCATTGCATAGATACAAACAATTTGATTTTTATTTTCCAACAATATAGCAAGGAATCACCATTTGTACCTATTTATAATGAAGGAGTTGATAGATGTGAGATATTGCTTATTTTTAAAAGTCATCTGGGGTCAATAATTAAAACCAATACAATTCAGTAAAAATATATTTTAATAACTGACCATTGTTGGCAACTTCTTTCCTTATATGTGGCTTCTGTTTCTCTAGATTTGGATATCAGAAACACATGAACAGATGTCACAAGTTTGTTTAAACACAGAATTGGCTGAAATAAAGAGTAAAGCCTTATTAAATGAGGAAACATTATGCTCTGGGATTATTGGAAGGTATTCTTTTTTTAAAAAGTGCTTGTTTATTTATTTATTTGAAAGGCAGACTGACAGAGAAGGAGAGACAGAGAAAATGAGATCTTTCATCCACTGGTTCACTCCTCAAGGGGCCACATAGGCCAGGGCTGGGCCAAGCCAAAGCCAAGAGCCTGAAACTCCATCCAGGTCTCCCATGTGGGTAGCAGTGGCCCAACTATGTGTGCCATCTTTCACTGCTTTTCCAGGCACATTAGCAGGGAGCTGGATTGGAAGTGGAGCAGCTGGGACCAGAACCACCATTCCAATATAGAATGCTGGCTTCACAGGTGGTGGCTTAACCTACTGTGCCACAGTGCTATCCCCTTAAAGGTATTCTTAATATTTTCTTTTGATTATAGGATATACACATGTAGCATGGGATTTGTAGAAACAGGAAGGAGTTAGAGTGGGACCTAACTACATAGTAAAGAAACAATCAGGCGTTTTTGTCTCAAGCTTCTGTGCTTTTGCTCATGCTATTCCATTTGTCATTTATCACACAACATTCTACTCTGGGACCAGTTAAAAGGTCGTTTCCTCTTTATATTTTTTTCTTAGCCCAAGGTTCTGACTATTTAGTTTGGAACCCCAGTCCACAATTACTTGAGGAAGTTATTTTGTGTCTGCAGTCCTAAATTTGTTCATCTGTAAAGTGGCAGTTTTGAAAGAACCTACTTCATAGAGTTGCTCTGGTGTTTAGAAAATAAAGTATAAATTGTGCACAGAAGTATTGCCTGACGTGTGTAAGAATTAGGGACTCAAGCAGCCATTAATCAAAATCAATTGCTCGTGTATCATTGCCTTCTACTATTTTATGCCCTGCAAAACAGTTGAACTTGCATTCTAGCTATTTATATGTCTGAGTTTCCCCAGGGACAGAGAGTTCCTGAAGGGCTCAGGCTTATCTGTAGTCCTGCAGCCTTGTACAATGCCCAGCCATGGAAGCATGTGGCATAGACTTTGCCTTACATTGTAATTACTGGAAAATGCAGCCACAGTAATGACAAAAGACTAAAATTTCCATTTACTCTTGGGATATTTTATTTAGCATAGCACATAAAAAGTCACAAACATAAAAACTATTTTTAAAATACTCATAAAAACTCAGCACTAAATTGGTTGTGTATGACTTTGAAAGTTTAAATAAAGCAGAATGACATGTTTTCTAAAAATTGTCATCTTGTTTCCAGGGACACCGGGTCGCCTGCCACAGGCTTCGGAGCTGTCTTTACTAGACACCCACCAGACTGGGGAAAAATGTTAGTAAGTCCCTAAGCCGCTGGGGATTGTATGGAATATTTCTTGGTTTAGGAGGCTGATTTTCAGGGGTGATCCCATGGAGTGTATCAAGGTTAACAAATGTCCTTCACATGCATCTCAGACTTCCCTTTGACAGAGGTTTTTTTTTTTTTTCCATCAGCATGCACAAATTCATAATGCTATTGGTTGAGGATCACTTATCTCAAATGCCTGGGATCAGAAGTACTTTGAATTTTGTATTTTTTGCAGAGTTTGCAGTATTTGCTTATGTATAAGGAGATAGTTGGGGATGGGATCCAAGTCTAAATGAAGTTATGTTTCATATACACCCTGTAATGTAGCCTGAAGGTAATTTTATGTGATATTCTTAGTGAGCCTGTGTTTTGAGTATGCTCTCATCACATGGAGTCAGGTGTGGAATTTTCCACTTGTTGGGGTGTGTGGTGTTCAGAAGGTTCAGGTTTTGGAGCATTTCAGATTTACGATTTTAGGATTAAGAAAGCTCAACCTGTATTTGCAGTTTCTGTATCTGTCAATTCTCCTACTTACTAAAATTTATTTATAATTCCCAAATCACTCTTCATGGTGCTGTCATTTCGCTTGTGGATATGTGTAGATTGGCAAGAAACTTCGAGTCACTTGGTATGTACACTCTCAGCTGAGGATGAACAAAGTGACATGCTGCCTTCTTGTTTCAGCTTTCATATTGTACACAAGTCTCCTCTTCCCACTCCATATAGTGCCATGTTTTCCAAACTTTTATGCTTTCTGTTGGTGACATCACTGATTCAAATATCCCAAAAGCTTAGTGCTCAGTTGTGATTGTGTTCCTAGGTGCTGGAAGGTTGCAATGTGTTTTTTGGAGAAAATATATGTGTTAGATAAGTTTCACTCAGGCAAGAGTTACAGTGCTGTTGGAGGTGAGGTCAGTGTTAATACGCAGGGAATAAGGTGTCCTTAAACAGAAATATACATATAGTTAAGTTATATGTTGATCACCTGGTGAAATTCTTGTGACCTTAGCCTTGCAGGAATGGAATCCTGTATTTCCCCTAAGAGCAGTGGTTCACTACTTGCTAATGCAGTTTCCACAGCAACTTTATAGAGCATTGCTGTGGACAATGAGAATTGCCTGCATGGCAGGAGGCTACTATTTTTTTTTTTTTTTTTTTTTTTTTGACAGGCAGAGTGGATAGCGAGAGAGAGAGAGAGACAGAGAGAAAGGTCTTCCTTTTGCCGTTGGTTCACCCTCCAATGGCCGCCGCGGCCGGTGTACCGCGTTGATCCGACGGCAGGAGCCAGGTACTTCTCCTGGTCTCCCATGGGGTGCAGGGCCCAGCACTTGGGCCATCCTCCACTGCACTCCCTGGCCACAGCAGAGAGCTGGCCTGGAAGAGGGGCAACCAGGACAGAATCTGGCGCCCCGACCGGGACTAGAACCCGGTGTGCCGGCGCCGCAAGGCGGAGGATTAGCCTAGTGAGCCGCGGCGCCAGCCCAGGAGGCTACTATTTTTACTTATACGGTGAAGATAAGTGATATGGAAATAGACTTATGAGCATGGCAAATCTCTAGGTATTAGGTTGTACATTAAAGGTTTGTTGCAAAGATTAAGTCAGTAAATATATGTAAAACAGTTAAACCGTGATTGACACATAATATAGTAAGTGATCTGCTGGATATATGCGTGAACCCTTTCAATTGTAAACTCATTTAGGTTAGCAAATTTTCTTGGATTTTTTTTTTTTTGATATATTGTGTTTTCTTTCATTCTCTCTTTTAGAAATCCCTCTTTTGGTTGTTGGATTTCCTATCCTGGTGCTCTAATTTTCTTGTCTTTTCTCTCTTGTTTTCTATTTTGTCTTTGCTACCTACTTTCCTCTCTCTTCCTTCAACCCTACGATTGAATTCTCTTCTTGTTTCCTGAATCCTTCTGTTTTTATAGGACTTATTTATTTATTTATGGTTTCCTGACCACACTATCTTACCTGGGGATGTTAATGATAGTTTATTTTTCTTTAATTATCTCCCTAGTCTCTGTTTTTGCCAATACACCTTGCTTTGGTTTGGTTTTTGTTGGTTCCATGCTAGAGGTATTTTCCTCAGGTGTTCAGTGGTCAACCCTTGGACTTTACTGATGATTAAGAGATGAGGCTCAGAGTCTGTGAGTGAGCAACCCATGACAGATATCTTTAATCTTAACTCAAGTCTCATCTGCTATGCCATCTCCACCAGAGGACCTTCCCATGGTTCCTCATTGTGGGCATCCATACCACTCACGGTGTACTTCTTTTATCCTAACATATCTTTGGTGCAAATACTCACATGTAGTGGAATGAGAAGGCTGTGCCAAGAAGGCCGCTGGCAAGTGAGCATCAGTTACTCAGGAATGGCTTTGAAACCCACTTGCCAACAGAGCCTGCCTGGCAACAGGCTGTGATTGGTTAGGGCAAAAACCTCCCCTTGACTGGATTGGCTGCCTCGGCTATATAAGCTGCTGTACCAACTGAAATATACGAGTCTGTGAGCTGCTCGCCTCTGGCCTGCTTTCACCCGACTCCTGGGGTTTGTGTGGTGACTCTGCACCTCTTGCCCCCACCCCGCTCCTCCTCTCAGAATGAATCCACAGCAACACTCACAGTCTTACCTTTTTTGTTAAATTCAGCTCTAACACAACTCTATCCCAAGTGCCCAACAGAGAACCTGACTCTCAACAGATGAACGATTGTTTATCTTCAGTGAAAAGATGAACTGAGGTTGAACAGAAAATCATAACGAAAGGGCTGGTTCCTATCTTATTTAATTTGGGAATTCAAGGCCTGTAGATCCAAAAGTTGTTCTCAATTCTGTTTTAGTAAATGCACTGAAGACACAGGATCTTTTAGGAAACTGCCCTTTATTATTTTGAATTGCTGGAATTACCTGTATGTTTAATTTGATTTATGATTATTGGCAAGGGAATAAATACACAAGTACCTTCAACTGTCCTCAGCTAATTCCATACGTAATTCTTTCTTTCAGCTAATACACATTAATTATGGGATGTTCCACACAATAACATGCTGTGTTCTATAATCTGCTCTCTTGAATATTAACTATTCTTTTGCTTCTTGCCAACTGTACAGCTGTGGAAGTTAAATGTCAACTTTAAAAGGCAATGAATAAGAATGAGTTTGCTCAGTGGACCAAAGTAATGTGCTTTAACTTAGAAAAGAAAGGCTGTAATCATAATGTAAATGTAAACTCCAGGTTACCTCTTAAGGAAAAAAAAATCAGAATAAAGGTGTAGCTTTGTTGTTAAGGAGACATTTATCTGATGCACTTATCTGAATTATTGGATGTGTCCATAATATTGTGATGGCATTGTACTATCTGTTTCATTTCTTTATAACTCAACCCGTGGCCCACCTTCTTTATTTTGTACCCATGTGAAAAAGACACAGCATCTTTCCCCCTACAGTTTTTTAGCAAACATCTCAGTGGAGTGTGTTGAAGATTAGAACAACTAGAATGTTTAATGCCACTGAACTTGCCATTCCCAACCTTAGCCAGAGAAAAGGGTTTTTGTGAATAATACCTTCCTTATATATCACAGATTGAGATAAATGGGGGAAAAAAAGAGTGAAAATATAGGGAGTTGTTGAGTTGAGACTGAAAGTGACCTCAAAGGCTTAAACTTTAAAAATGGTATGTGCAGATTCTGATGTGAGATGGAGGCCCTCTGGACCTGGAGCTGTTGTTTCCCTCAGGAGTTGGTCACAGTCCCATCCTTGAGTTTCTGAGGACTTGACAGTGACCAGTGATGTCCGAGTGGCTCAGAGGTCTCTTAGACATCAACTGTGCCTTCAGATGCACACCGATACAGCTGCACGTGTGAGGACACCTCTGAGGTACATGGATAGAGACAGTGAAGGTGAAGTGCTGAGAGGCGCGTGTCCTTTCAGACATATTGGAGAATTGGATGCAAACATGAATATAGTGAGTTAATTTAAGGGTCTTTCTTTGCTCTCCTACCTGATTCTCACGCATCTTGAGTAACTTTCATTTAATTTGGAAACACTCTTTACAAGGCATGGAAAAGTAATTCACTAATTATCAGAGGTCGCTATATATCTGATCATCCAGATAAAATCATTTGATTTATCCACAGAACCAAGCACTTGTAGTAAATTCATTCTAAGTACTAACATTTTCTATGCAAAAGTATCTAGACTGCCTCAGGCATCATTAAACAAACAACCAGAAACCAAAACAACAGCAGAGACAGCAACAAAACTGTATGACACAAAACTGATTTTGAAAGGGAGATGTTGGGGGCCGGCACTGTGGTGCAGCGGGTTAACGCCCTTGCCTGAAGCGCCAGCATCCCATATGGGCGACGGTTCTAGTCCCAGCTGCTCCTCTTCCAATCCAGCTCTCTGCTATGGCCTGGGAAAGCAGTAGAAGATGGCCCAAGTCCTTGAGTCCCTGCACCCGCATTGGAGACCTGGAGGAAGCTCCTGGCGCCTGGCTTCGGATCCGCACAGCTCTGGACATTGCGGCCAATTGGGGAGTGAACCATTGGATGGAAGACCCCTCTCTCTCTCAATCTCTCTCTCTCTCTCTGGCTCTCCTTTCTCTGTGTAACTCTGACTTTCAAATAAATAAATAAATCTTTAAAAAAAAAAAGAAGAAAGGGAGATATTTATGTTAAGATCTTATTTCTCAGAAGCCCTAATTGAAATACACAGCTGTGTAGTGGGTTAAGCTGTTGCCTATGATGCTGGCAGCACAAATGGCCGCTGGTTCAAGTCCTGGCTACTCCACTTCTGATCCAGCTCCCTGCAAGTGTGTCTGGGAAAGCAGCAGAGGATAGCCCAAGTGCTTGCGCCCCTGCACACATGTGGGAGACCTGGAAGAAACTCCTGGCTTCAGGCTGGCCCTGCCCTAGATGCTGTGGCTATTTGGGGAGTGAACCAATGGATGAAAGATCTCCCTCTGTGACTCTGACTTTCAAATAAT